CTTTATCATGCATTTGGGGAATAAAACTTTTATTTTTGCAAAATTTTATTTTTCTTAATGGTTACTTTTATACTCATTGTGGTTGAGTGTTACATACATGACTATTTGGTCAAAGAAACAGAACTGCTGATGAAAAGAATTTGTACATGCTTGTTGAGCTGCTTAATAAACAACTATTTGATGATTCTGCAGTATGTTTAAAGGGTAATTCTTCTTCTGTTGCTTTAGACAGTTCATTTGGTATTCTCAAAATGGATGTAATTTCAAGGGGTGGCCATAATGTATCAATTAGCCTGACATCTAGGTCTTTTTAACAGATCTATAAATTTCCAATTTCCTTTGCTATCTTAACCATGGTAAATCATCCTGAACAAGATCATTCTTTTGAACAACAGCCTGCTTATTAGCTGAGATCAATTGAGATTAGAAAATGAAAAAATATACTAGATGCTGAGAACTCTTTATGAAACTCCATTTGTAGGATGAGTATTGAATGAAGATTAATGTGTTATTTTCAGCTTCATCATTGATTTAAAAATTTATTCTCTGTGTCCTATTGTTGGATTAAACACTAATATAAATTTGGATGGTTTGTTTGCTTGCAAGTATTATCTTTTTTCATTGAATTCATATATTAATGGAAGGGAATGATTTTTTGCTTGGATGTATCTTGCTTTGCACACCATAGATGTTTCTGAAAAACTGCACATTAAATTTGATAAAATTGATTGGTTTCTTTCCCACTGGATTAGACTGCGGCAGGCTGCGCCTCCCATGCTGTCTCTTGACATTGGGGGAGAAGTGGGGAGTTCCTGTGCTCCCCCGAAGAGGGAAAGTTGTACTTCCCAAAGAAGATCTGAACTAGGGAGTCTCCATGGCAACGCCTGCTAATGCTCTCCTCTTTGTTCTTGGTTAATGCAGAAGTTAGTTAGTTATTAATTGGCATGTGAAAACCCAATTCGGACCTAGACATTAATTGATTTGTTATTCTTACACTTGAATCACTATCAAAGAAAGTACAAAATGCTAAAGGTATAGTTAGGAAGGAAATGTTTCGGCCCTGAGAACTATGGAGAACAAGCTGCCTTGAACCAGTTGTGCTTGGAAGCCACAGCCTAACACGGGGGGCCCATGTTTGCGGCAGCAGTACATTTCCTGGTGTATGCAAGAGGTCAATAGTTCGCAGGCAGTGTGGATGTTAGGAATTTCTAGTTAAGAGTTAGACTTCAGTAGAACTAACTTAGATTTGATGAGTTATTTGAAGTTAATTGAGTTAATTGAGTGCTAGGAGATAGATTGATTTTAGTAATTGGATATAGAATAGGAATTTTACACCCACTCTGTAACTGGGAAAGTTTAATTGTTGCCAAATGTTGTGCTGTCTTATATGATTGATCATGTTAGTAAATGAGCTGTACCTAGGAAACTAATTTTCTTAAGGTTACCAGAGAAATGCCCTTTAGGTGTGAGACCTAGGGAGTCTTTACATGTTCATGGGAAAATATGTATTGATTGTTTCTGTTCTGCCTCAATGCTTATGCTGATGTAATCTCACCGCTGGCCTTAAGGTATAAATAAAGACCCGCTGAGACCCTCAGCAGGAGATACTTGCACGAAATAAGGTGTCTGTGTCTTCCTCACTCCTACCTCGCTCCACTTCCCCTCAGCCCTGCTGTTATAGAGCAACCCCGATATTAAACGGGTTCCTGGCTGTGGGTCCTCACCCGCGCGCTTTAAAGGGACTTATGAATACTCTACTACAGACACACGCAAAAGGGTTAATAAAAGGTTTATTTACAAGAGAAAAAGAAATAAGGAAAATGTACAACTCAGGGAGAAAATAGGGAAATAAAGTCTTTAATGCGTCCTACCCGATCCGACGACCTGGAAACCCCAAAGTCACTCTCAGAGCTAGACGGACGCCGCGAGCTGGCCGAGGGCCCCAAAATGGAGAGAGCCCCCAAAGCCCACGTGTCTGCCTTTTGTATCCACCTGGCTGCTTAACCCCACCCTCAGGTCCCAGCCACCTTCCCTTTGGTGGTGATGGGATTTGGAGTTCCCAGTGTCTTTGGCTTTGACCTGGGGTGGGGGTGGAGTCCACAAAGCCTGTATGGAATTTGCTTTGGGACTGCCTTTTCCCCCTAACACTCGGAGAGAAAACTTTCACTCACACCGTCCTCTCCTTCCTAAGATCCCTGACACGACTTCTAGCTGGAGCTGGTCTCCAGCATTAGACTAAAGTTTTTATTTTAATTTCTGATTGATTTTCATTTGCCCTTTGGAGAAAAGAGAAGATTCTTAGCATATCTGTGTGATCTAGACTGTGTCTAACTTTAAAGACAATCTTACAAAACTGTCTTCTCTCTCCAAGCCCCAGCTACCCTGGCCTTCTTTCCAACCTTAATAATTCAGACTCAAGATTTTTGTACTTATTGCCTAAAATTTTAATTTTGTGACACAACTTGTTTTTATTTTTTTCCATATGGCACATACTTTATTACATTACTTCTTAATTGATTGTCTTCCATTACTGGAAAGGCAACTCCAAAGATGTATGGACTTAGACTTATCACTGAAACTCCAGCTTAAATATCACTTTTTTTTCCAGGCTTCCTTTTTTTTTTTTTTTGATCCTTAAGATCAGGCTCCACTATTACTTGTTCTTATAGTTGTGTGAACTTCTTGTATTTCTGAGGTCTCCAAAAGAACTTAATAGAACTTTAACTTATAAAGTCCATTAATTGTGAGATAACTTGCTTAACTCCTGTTTCTTAAGCCCAGTTGGGACAGAAAATATCTGTCTTGCTCTAATCATATCCAGCAACACCTAGCCTAATGTCTGTAACATAGAGATGCCCAACAAATATCTGCGAATGAAAACATGATGGAGACATAATTAAACAATTTTTCATTATAACTTTCAGACCTTTTGTTTCATTTGTTCAGTGTTTTCCCAACAACAAAAAAATAGTGGTTACTAAACTACAAAGAAATGCTTTACTGTATTGTAAAAATTTCTATTTAAATGTACTCCTCCATGAATTCAATAACGTTAGTTATTTAATCTAACACATAACAGTCTCTTCACCCTGGTGTTATTTAATTAAATAAAAATTTAATGAGTTTGTCCTCTGGACTAAGCCACACAGAGGGGAAGAAGGTCAGATAAATAATGAAAAAACATCATTAGCTTTAAAACAGAAAGATCTCTTCCATATTTATAGCTTGTGAGCTTGGCCAAGTTACCAGTTGAACTTTGGGTTCTTCATCTGTGAAATAGGAATAACAATACCTATTTTGTGGGTTTTTCTGAGACAATTATTAATAATGCATGCAATATGCCTGCCTTCTGTAGCAACTCAAAAGATTATAGCTGTGACTGCTATGCCTAGAAGGTAAACTCTAAGCAGCAGACTGTAATTCCATTCCAAGTACCTTATACAGAGAATACATGCAATAAAGTTTGGTTAAACTGACCAGCAATAGAACCTGTGGCAAATTATGTGCTAGCTCTTACCTTTCAAGGACTTAAAAATTTAACTTATAAAATAAACTCTAAAACAAATTCATGAAATATTTAGATAATAATGATGTGCTATGCTTATTATAGTTTATAATACAAACAAGATTAAAGCAAAATATGTGTTACATACCACAAGTGCTGGTAAGGCAGGAAATGGTAAGAGGTGATTGGCACTTACTGAAAAATGGTAATTACACATGTTGGTGTATGTAAGACATGTACCACTATGCTCCTATGAAGGTGTTCAATTTAATTTTGTGCAAAATTTGAAGCTTACTATACAATGTTGGATAAAATTGATCAACCTCTGTTTCCGTGTTAACTAGGATGACAAAAAAATCTGGGTCATTAATAGTGAGTATTTCTTGTAGTTATAGATGCTTGCTGCAACCCCCTTTTAACAATCAGTGGTCAGCTAACAATTACAAGTAGGTTCTGATGATGTTGAGTAATGTTGTTTAAATTGGGCTGTATTATGTGTGGTATATGCTAGGCCCTGAAAACTAGAAAATACTCAGTGCCATATTCAGCTTCATACTCAGCATGTTTTCATGTATCATTCATTGTAATTGCACGTGGCCATCCTTTCCTCTTACCAAATTCTTTGCTCCCAACCCAAACAGATACAGAAATGGTGAGCAGAAACAAAAGAATGTTTCTGTGCTGTAGGCCAAGCTCTTATTTTTTGTTATGTGTCTCTGTAAAGGCATTTGACATAGATCCAAACACAAGGGCACCCCGTTCAAATTTTCTGATATACCAACAATCACACCAAAATCTTCAGATTTCTAATTTCAGAAACAAATGCAATCACCAAACACACGAAGAAATCCTGACATAGGAAGAGACGACCACCATCTTTCACCCACCTCATGCCACATAAGAATGATCTAGAATCTACCCATGCCAACTGGCAGCCAGATGCTCATCAACCTGCCCAACTTATACATCTGCCCAGTCCAACCTGCTGCTCCTGGAATAAACCCCTTGCCAGCACACCTGCAGCATAGTGGGGGACAAAAACCCGGAAAGCCCTTGTCTCCACTCACTTCACCGACCAGTCATACAATTCGACCAACGTATCGGATATTCTTACAAGGACAGAGACCTAAATAGAGGAACTGTGCTAACACACTCTCAAAGACACATAAAAAATCACCAGCATTAATAAAGCATTTGTTTATCCGGATCTGCAGGGTGCACTTCGGTAACACACAGTTTCAGGCCCCCCAGCCCTGGACCCCTGCAGCCCATGTTTGCTTTTCTCAGTCATTCACAAACTAGTCCTCAAACTAGGCGTTCTAGTGTGGTGAAAGCAGCAACTTTGCTGCAGTCTTGTCCGTCTTTTCAGGTCTATTTTCTCCCTTTTCCCTTAACTCCCGAAGGGCCCTGTGGCGCCAGCCGGTCAAGTCCAACCCCACGCCCTCCCAGCCCGAGCCGCGCCGAGGGGCGGGGCCGCGCCCGCTGCCAGGAAATGCCCAGGAGTGTTTGTCACCTGCTCCCGACGACTTGTTGATTCCCAGGAGTATCGCCGTTTTGGTCTGTAAGTCGAGTCTGGACGAAGAGTTAGCTCACCTTGCCCTGGCGCAGCCTGGGGGTGCTCCTGAGCGGTTCCCGGGTGCGCGCACACCCCCAGCCTCACAGCCATGAGCAAGTTGGGCAAGTTCTTTAAAGGTGGGGGCTCCAAGAGCCGAGCGCCTCCCAGCCCCCAGGAGGCCCTAGCCCGACTTCGGGAGACGGAGGAGATGCTGGGCAAGAAACAAGAGTACTTGGAAAACCGAATCCAAAGAGAACTCACCCTGGCCAAGAAGCACGGCACGCAGAATAAGCGAGGTAGGCTCGGGTCCGGCCCCAGGTGAGAGCTGACTCCCTCCTACCTCCAGCTCTTTGGGGAAGTAACCTCCCAGCGGCCAGGTGCGTTCCCACAGCCTCTCTAGGAACTGGTACTGATTCTAGAGCTCCGGAGTGAACTGAGCAAAGTACCCTCTGGATGGCAAAATGGGATGGGACGCCAAAAATTTCTTCTTGCTTCAAAATATTATTTCTTGGTATCTGAGTGTTTGGGTGTCCCTTATATTTTGCTGCTGGCTCAGCTCATCTAGGCCAGCGCTGCTGACCTGAGTACTAATAGCGTGTGTTCTGCTGTGTGTTTGTATACCGAACCCCACATTTTAATTTGCATGTAATCTCCAGTGAAGCATATTCTAATACATTCTAATTTACCTTGCTTCTCAGCTGTTGAAAAGTTTAGTTGACTGTTGGGCAGTTGAGATCATATGTGTGTGTATACCAATACTCACACACGTATAGTCAGGGAATTAAATTATATATTTATATATATATATATCAGGGAATTAAATATTAAATTTCCTATCACTGGATTTTGTCACAAAGAAAGGACTTTGAGTCAGTAATTAGTTTTGTTTTGCCTGGCAGACCTTGAATCCTTTGTTCTTTGCCAGTTCATTTTTTTTTTCCTGAAGTGTACAGCTCTCTCTATAGAGGCTAGAGCTAAACAGCACCCATGGCTCATATAAAACCCCAATGAGAAGTTGAAGTAATTTTTCCCCTGTAACACCAGGCCAGAGACAGACTCAGAAAAATAAGTGATAATACACGACTCTGCTCACTATCAAACTCTGAATTTGCATTGTCAAGTCAGGCTTCTTTCATCATAAGGTAGTCTTGAGAGATTTAGCTTGCCCTAAATGATATAGCCATTGTTTAAAGAAGGAAAAGAATGTCTTCTGGGGATGACGTCGAAAATCCTACCACAAATGTGCCTGATGCATTGTGCCCATTTATTGCTAACAATAAAAAGGTCAAAGTTTCATTGTTTTTTTTACTACTGCATTTAACTTTTATCCTGGTTATGGCGTGTCTTATAGCTAAGTGCTGCTTTCTATTTTTACTTTATGTCTGAAAATATTTTGAGAAGTTACTACATAGTAATTTCTAAAGCAAGAACATGCCATTGTGCTTACCAAAAAGTCTTTGGTTGTTGTATTACTTGGCTCTTCCTTTTCAGTTTGATGTGTACAGTGACATTCACTTAGCGTCTGTCCAGGCTTTTTTTTTTCCCCCTTTTTTTTTGGTCATCCATTCATTTCTGCACATATAGCTTTACCAAAAGTGGTGCTTTTTAAATATTATTATATATTGGTTTTAAAAATCTGAAAAATAAGCATCTTCTTTTAAAAGTGGTAAAAATGTTGATTTGCTTTCAGAAGACAAATGTAAAATAATGTAGGTCTTGCTGATTTTTTTTTTTTTGAAATGTTTTCTATGGACAATGTACGAAAATGGTTATACTTTGACTTTATAAAGAAGTCCCCTCAAATTATATATGACATTAAATTAAGAATATCAATCTAACTTCCTTACATCAGAGAAAGCACAGATGCAAGTAAATCTGGTAGATTTCTATTTCACTATACCAAGTGGTACAGTGGTAAGAAATCCTGACCAGGGAAGGTCACTTACCTTTTGTGAACCTTTCATCCAGAGTGTATGGAGTACGCCTTGAAAGGATGTAAAGGTAGGACTTCATTGGGCTTCTGGCACAGGTTCAAAGACTTTTTGCCTGCTTGCTAATGTGTGTTTAATCAGTATATAGGCAGAATTAATCAAAAACTTGCTTTCATTGTAACTCAGCTAGGTGGTTCTTCTCATCTCAATCTTCTTGGCAGTTACCATAATCTACTAAAAGGACTTGAGTATTCACTACCAATGTGGTTTTGAAACACCTGTGGTATTCAAGACTCTGTTGATCTAACAGTATTACCAGAGGGAAGATTGTGAGGGGGGCCTGGAGCAGGTAGAGGGACTGATTGGTTGGCAATGGATGGTGATTGCATGTTTGGTGGTAGGTGTGGTGTGATATATTTATCTGCTGAGGTCAGAAACTGTTCATCCCAAACCTGTACAATGTTTTAAACTAATGTTATCTTAATGATAATAATAATAATAATAATAAAAGATAATCTAAAAGAGTAATGGCTAGAGAAAGATTTATAATTTGGTTAAAAACTTTAAGAGGTCAGGGCTTCCCTGGAGGCACAGGAGGTTAAGATGCAACCTATGAAGCTATCCGCAGCCACTGCAGCATAAGTTTGATCCCCAGCCAGGGAGCTACCCACATGGAAGCAGATCTTGACTCTCCCACTGATCTCCTCAGCAGTGTACTTCAATCGATCTGCCTGTTCTGTTCCTCACTCTGTCTCTGGTGAACCTCTCACCCCCCTACACCTCTGGCCTGTACCCCAGTTCTTGTATAAATAAAGAAATCTTAAAAAAAAAAAACTTTAGGCGGTCAGAGATCCTTTAATACAATTTATTCAGATTGCTATGCTATTACTTTTTTTTAGCTGGTAATCAGCTTTGTGGAAAAGGAAACTTTTTATACATCATGTAATTTTTGTTTCCACTTCTTTTTTTTTTTTTTTAGAGGCATGCTTTATTTATTTATTTATTTGTTTGTTTGTTTTGTTTATACATGCACTGGGTACAGTCAGAAGCGCTGGAGGGTGAGAGAATTCACCAGAGCCAGAGCGGGGAGCAGAGCAGGCAGAAGGACCGAAGTACACTGCTGAGGGGAGCAGCTGGCGGCAGGGGAGGTCTGCGCACCATGTGGGACCCTCCTCCGGGGAGCAGCCGGGGATCGAACCAGCGCCACAGAGGGTGCGGGCAGCTTCGCAACCCAGCGCTCAACCGCTGCGCCACCGGGGAGGCCCTGTTTCTACTTCTTTTGAGTGCTGTCATCTAGAGCAGTTTTCAATCTGAGCTGTATATTCAAGTCACCTTGATGCCTGGACCCCACCTCCATAGATTGTGATAAAATAGGCGGGATGGGACTCAGGCATTAGTATTTTTAAAAAGTGGCCCTGGGTGATTCCACCTTGTTACCATCATTAAGAATTAGGAACCTAATCTGTAGTAGTATTAATGAGGTAGAAATACAAGCACTCTTAGTCTTGTGGTGTTCCTAACCTTTTTTATATCATAGCACCCAGGGACACTGATGATATTTGTGTGCTTCTCTGGGATAGCCAGGGACCAGCAACTTGGACTCAGTGCCTTGGGCCTGTGGCCTTGGGAGCCAAAGGCTCCTGTTTTCACTCAGGACAAATACCTCCTACCACACTGGTTTGGTGGAATACCTCAGGGGGGGTCACTGTGCTAACCTCCTTTATGAAATCTTTTAAAAATAATATCACTAAGACATGGCCATAGGTATTTTGCTTTGTCCAATTTTCAGACATTTGATAGAAAATAACTTAGCATTGTAGTTAAGAGCCTGAGCTTCAAAGCAGACAGTCCTAGATTTGACTCCTAGCCCTGCCCTACCTCTTAAGAAATTTTAAGTGAGTTTATCTATTTACTCACCCTGTCTAATTCTCATTTTTGTCATTTACATAATGGCCATGATAAGGTTAAATTCTTACAGTTGTGAAGATAAATGCATAATGGTGCAAAGTCCTTAACTCAGTGCTCTATAAATATTAGCTATTGTTATTTTAAAAAGCATTTTTTAAAGCTGAAATTAGCTTCCTAGTAAGTTCCATTTACAGGTTCAAATTTTGTCTTTTGAAATAACATCTAATAAATCTACTTCATCTGTCAACTGAAGACTTTTCTCATAACTGAAGTCACCAGTCACTTCCCTGAGTCTCCTGTTCCACAACCTCACACCTTTGTCCTCAGTTACCCTCTACTGTGCTGAGATTTTTTTTTCCTCATCAGGGCTGGGTCTAGGGTGCGGTGAGTAAGATACCTAGGACACACTGTGTGACCCTGAGTGCAAGTGCCTCCTTAAGTTTGTACCCTAGATACCTCTCTGTCCTCCACACTAGTCCTGATCCTAGTGTTTACCTTGTCCCATACGGAATAAGAACTCCAAATATGTAATTATATGAAAAGGGATGCATCCAGTCTGGGGGTATCAGTAGGCCTCAGGCTGTTGGAATAGGTTGATAAAGATGGAAAGCTTGAGACAGGGATGAAGCGAATTTGGCCACAACCCCTCCTCATTACAAGGGATCCCAGTGAAACTAGGTGCTGAGGCCATTCCACCTCTTCATCAGGTGTCTTTTGGTGAATGAGACCTTAAAGCAGAGAGTCTTTGATTTAAATTAATTAAACCAGCTCACTTTGAATCCTGAAGAATTTACTTTTTTATTTTTTGCAAAGAATGAGTTTGATTTTGGAGTCATGAGGCAGACTTGGTCTTCCTGGGATCAGAGGTGTATGCGCAATCCCACTGGTTTAGCTCAGTGCTATGGGCCCTCCTCAGACTCCTGAGTTTGCCTTTTATTATTTTATTTATTTATTATTTCATTCAGCTCTCCTAGGGCTGAATTCTGCAGTCTCAGACACTGGAGACCAGAGAACTTATGTGTAAAGAGAGACACATCCATGTCAGCTAGATGAGTGACAATCTAGTAAGGGCGAAAGTGTGATTTAGGTAATAGAAGAGACACACAGATTGCTTAGAAGCCGGACACACGGAACTTCCCGGAGATAGTACTAACCTGTGACCTCTGGCCTTTTTTTTTAAAATTAATTATTTTTTTCCCTTGCAATGTTTGCTTTCTTTTCTCAGATGTAGTCCCCATAGAATTCCCACCACCAGTTCACCCATGCACCATCACCATAGTCACTTGTGCTCTTCCCACCCTTGTTTTCTTTCCCTTTGCCTCCCCTCCCCTGCAGAATGTCTCTGATTTATAGTTGTTTGTTTATTTTTGTTTTGTTTTGTTGTATTTTTTGTTATTATTTTTTTCTTGATCCCCTATATTCCTCCTATAAGTAAAACCACCCAGTATTTTTCATTT